GGGCGGATCATGAGGTCAGGAGATCGAGACCATCTTGGCTAACATGGTGAAACCCCATCTCTACTAAAAATACAAAAAATTAGCCGGGCGAGGTGGCGGGTGCCTATAGTCCCAGCTACTCTGGAGGCTGAGGCAGAAGAATGGCGTTAACCCGGGAGGCGAAGCTTGCAATGAGTCAAGATTGCACCACTGCACTCCAGCCTGGGCGACAGAGCGAGACTCCGTCTCAAAAAAAAAAAAAAAAAAAAGAATGAAGCTGAGCCACTGGGTAAACACATGGATCAAATCAAGAACCACTACACTCACCACAAACACATACAATAAGCATTTTTAAGCTGTTAGAGCCACGCAATTATTTATTCCTATGACCTTTGACTTCTGTTGGATCTCCCTGTGCTGGTCCACTCTTCTTTCACCTCTTTCTCTAGGCTTCAACTCTGCCCCTTTATTAGATCAACATGTGTACTTCCTGCATTACTGTATCATTTATCTTTACCCCAAGAAGTATGTAATTTTAATAGAAAAGAGAGTTCTCATTTAACTCTCTAATGACACAATTTTGTGACTATTTAAAGCAAGTCATTTAGCCTTTCTGAACCTTAATTCTCACATCTGTAAAACTGATGACTACTTACGTATTTCCCAGGCTTGCTGAGTAAAGCAATTATAAAACACTCATCAATGTGAAAAATAACGTAGAAAGGTTCTGTTCTCCATGCTTCAAAAACCTTTGCTGCTAAGAAAGCTGCCAATACCTGCTTTGGGCATTGTGGGTGCTGCAGACTAGGAGCTCTAAGGCATGTTCCCCATGCAGAGCAACCAGTCCAAGAGAATATACACTATGGGAGATTCTGCTGGTCTTACAAGAGAGGTGGAAGTCTAGAAGAGCCTCTTTCTTCCGAAAGAAAGAAAGAAAGAAAGGAAGGAAGGAAGGGAGATAAATTAGTGCAGCCATTATGGAAAACAGTATGGCAGTTCCTCAAAAAACTAAAACCAGAACTACCACATGATCTAACAATCCCACCACCAAGTGTATTCAAAGAAAAAGAAATCAGTATGTCGAAGAGATATCTTTACTCCCATGCTTAGCACAGCACTATTTGCAATAACCAAGATATGAAAACAACCAAAGTGGCCATGATGTATATAACTGATATGGTTTGGGTCTGTGTCCCCGTCCAAATCTCATGTCAAATTGTAATCCCCAATGTTGGAGGTTTGGCCTGGTGGGAGGTGATTGGTTCAGGAGGCTAATTTCCCCCTCAATGTTGCTTTCATGATATGTAAGTGAGCGCTCGTGAGATTTGATTGTTTAAAAGTGTGTGGCACCTCCCCCATCTCTCTTTTCCATCTGCTCCAACCATGTAAGACATGACTGCTTCTTCTTCACCTTTCACCATGCTTGTTGTTTCCTGAGGCCTCTCCAGCCATGCTTCCTGTACAGCCTGCAGAACTGCAAGCCAATTAAACCTCTTTTCTTTATAAATTGCCCAATCTCAGGTATTGATAGCATGCAAGAATGGACTAATGCAATAATGGAACATTATTCAACCACAGAAAAGAATGAAATATTGTCATTTGTGGCAACATGGATGAACCTGGAGGACATTAAGTGAAAGAATCCAGGCACAGAAAGATAAGTAAGTCCCACATGTTCTCATTCATCTGCAGAAGCTCAAAAATTTGATCTCATAGAAGTAAAAGTAGAATAGTGGTAACTAGAGGCTGGAAACTAGTGACTGGGAGGGGAGATAGGGAGAGGTTGGTTAATAGGCATAAAATTATAGCTAGACAACAGGATTAAGTTCTAGTGTTCTATTGCACTGTAGGGTGACTATAGTTAACAATAATTTATTACATACTTTCAGATAGCTAGAAGAGAGGGTTTTTTTTTTTTTTTTTTTTTTGAGATAGAGTTTCACTCTTGTCACTCAAGCTAGAGTGCAGTGGTGCAATCTTGGCTCACTGCAACCTCCACTTCCTGGGTTGAAGAGATTCTCCTGCCTTAGCCTCCCGAGCAGTTGGCATTACAGGTGCACACAACCATGCCCAGCTAATTTTTGTATTTTTAGTAGAGATGAGATTTCACCATGTTGGCCAGGCTGGTCTCGAGCTCCTGACCTCAGTTGATCCACCTGCCTCAGCCTTCCTGTGTGCTGGGATTACAGGTGTGAGTCTCTGTGTCTGGCCTAGTAGAGAAGATTTTGGATGTTCCCAACATGGAGAAATAATCAATTTTGAGGTGATGGATATGCTAATTACCCTGATTTGATCATTACATATTGTATACATGTACTGAAATATCACTTAGGGAGAGGTGCAGTGGCTCAAGCCTGTAATCCCAGCACTTTAGGAGGCCGAGGAGGGCGGATCACAAGGTCAGGAGATCCAGACCATCCTGGCTAACATGGTGAAACCCCATCTCTACTAAAAATACAAAAAAAAAATTGCCGAGTGGTGGTGGGCGCCTGCAGTCCCAGCTACTTGGGGGGCTGAGGCAGGAGAATTGCTTGAACCCGGGAGGCGGAGCTTGCAGTGAGCCGAGATCACGTCACTGCACTCCAGCCTGGGTGACAGAGCAAGACTCCTTTTCAAAAAAAAAAAAAAAAAAAAAGAGATATCACTCAGTACCCCATAAATATATACAGTTTTATGTCAATTAAAATAATAATAATAATAAAAAGAAAATGGGGGAAAAGAGCTGAGGCCTTGAGGAGCAGGTCACTGGGAGGAGCAGAGCTACCTTGGGGTGGCTGCTGGTGGAAACCAAGATTTGGATCTGGTCTGAGGTGGCGATGTGCAGCCAGGGATTCTGCACTGAGGCAATAGGAACAAATGCCTGATGATAGCCCGAGAACCTCTTTCCTGGAGTAACTGTGTGAGGTTAAAATCAAGGAACAAAAGTGGAAATCAAATCTGTACATTTGTAAATCACAATTTCATGTACTGCATAAACAACTTTTTATTGTTTTCTTTTTATTTTAAATGTTCTATAGCGTGTTTGTATACTCAGAAAAAAATGACTTTAAAAAATAATTTGAAAATGAAAGAGATATAATGGCCCTAAACATAGAAATAGTAATATAATGATGGCACTTTAGGAATCATCAAAAAAGATACAATGAAGGCTGAAAATCAATATGAAAAATGGTATAATGATACCAAAAAAACAAGTGTGTGTATATATTGTACAATTAAAACTATATAAAATATATACAAGAAAGCTAGAAGGGAATATATGAAAACACTGATAGTTGTGTTATGAAGGTTTTAAAAATGTTTGAGCAATTTTTAAAATTTTCCCCAATTTTTAAACCTTTAAGATTGTTTTATTAATTCAAATCTTTACAAATATCTCAGGGCTTTTGGGGACAAAGGACAGCTAGAAATAAAACAAACCCAGAATACAAATTATTCACACGGAATGCTGCGACTCTGGGGTGGTGAGATTTAGGGATGGCTTCTACCAAGTGAAAGAAATGTGGGACCATGGATGGAAAATACAGGCTGTTCTCACTTCTTTCCGGGGGCTCACAAAGATGAGATGGGCCTTGTGATCTTCAGAGAGTGAGCTGTGTCTTAAGAGTTACCAGGATTCATGCTGCTCTCCAGATGTATTTACTTTGTGTAATCCTTGAGCCTTCAATAAACACTGGTTTGAACACACTGGCCTTGTTTCTGCTTGTTGTGAGCAAAAAGGGAAGATCACTGTGGCCATCTCACACTTCACTGGGACAGAATGTCGTGCAAGGGAATGGATTAGGAAATGGAGTCAGGGGCTCTGGACTCAGCTCTTCCCTTCCCAGTGAAGAGAGTGTCCTCCTAGTGACGCTCTGGAAGTTTCAGGGCTTTATTTGAGCTCTGGCTGGAGGCATTTCCCATCAGCTGTCAGGTGGCTTAGAGTAGAGGGAGTAGGTGGCTCAGAGCCACAGGACAGCTCGTCTGTGGCTGTTGCCCAAAGCTGCTTTGTGGTTGCTAAGTGGCCAACATTCATTAGCAGTCTTCAATTCTGTCCAGTTTCAAAATGACACTCAAGATGCTTAATCTCCTCTTAAAACAGGAGCGCTTTCAAGCTGTGGCTGAAGATTCCATACATCAGGATAGTCTCAGCAATGATTTTTTTTTTTTTCTCTCAGAACCAATCATTAACTAAGTTGCTACCTCTTTAAAAATTTTGATCCACTCCTCCTTCTTCATCCCTGCTGCCGCTGCCTGGGTGCCCGCATGATTTTATGTCTATGTTACTGCAATTGTCTGGGAATTATTTCACTGCCTTTGTTCTTAGGAATCTCACTCCGAAATGGCCAGAATGCTTTTAAACATAGATTTGACCATGTTACTCCAATATTTAAAACCCTTCCTTGATTACAGGATGCAGTCCACATGGCCCTTCATTGATTATAGGATACTGTCCACATTTCTTAGTCTGAAACTTTAGATGCTCCCCATTCACATTTCCAACCTCATTTTTTTTAAACCACTGGTAATATGCTCTAACTACACAATACTACTTAAAAGTCCTTTTTTCTTACTGTCTTTTTTCTTTCTTTACTTCCTTTTTTGCTCGGTCCTTTCTCTTCATCTTATTTCTTAAAACAACAGGAACAACAACAAAAATCTCCATAAACATGGGAAATAAAAATGAAAGAAAAATTTACAATCTAATGACCTCAACAAATAATTACTTTAATATATTAGATAGTAGTCTGTTATTTCTTCTGTGCACACTAATTCTGGGTTCTAAACATTTTAATTATTCTTCTTTCGAAGAAGTGGAGGTTCAGAGAAATCCAGACAAATTTTCTTCATTTTTTTATGTCACTCCTCATCTCTTGTTTTAATCACAGGTTAGGAGGTATAAAATTTAGTCCTTAAATGCAGAAAAGCAAAATACCTACTGCACTTTCCTCTGACTCCATACATTGATTCCTGTTTCAAATTCCATTCTTGCCAAGCCTCCCCCACTTTTCCCTGAGTTGCATCAAATCCTCACCGTCCTCTAGCCACAGCGGCATCCGCTGAGACTTTCATCCTGATTGTTCCTTAGGTGCTGTTTAGTGCCAGCCACTGAAGAAAACCCCCTTGTTTCCACCCACGCGGCCCCATCTGGTTTCAGGGCCTCCTCTGTGCTATTTTGGGGTGTGAGGAGATCATTTTTCAACGCCTACAGTGTGCGGGGGCTGGGAACTCTGCATCCTCCCCAATACTTCTCATGCCGCCATTTCTTCTCAGGGTCTTGCCTCCTTTCCCAAGCTCAGCCTGTGGAGTAAAGCGCAGACCCATCTCTCGGGTACCTAACGACGCCACCGCCCTCTCTGCTTCTCCAACTCTCCTTTTCCAATCTTTTTCTAGCTTGAGTCTCCTAAGGAGACGAGGAGTTCTCCTAAGGAGCTAGACTTAAAAAACGTAGAAATCTGAAAAGATTCCTTTTTGGTGCTTGTTGCCATCCTGAGTTCTTCCCGAGACGAAGGTCTAATCTGGTGTTTGAATGAAGGCAAAGGTCAAGGCAGAAAACGAAACACTGGGGAGGCCTTTAATATTTCTAAAATACTCTTTTGACACAATAGCAGAGAGAAAATTTTGCTTTCTGCTTTTTTTAGTTGACCAAAAGTATCACCAAATATTATTACTTAGCCTTTAAAATAACTTTTAATACTTGCCTAATCATACATTGCCTAAATTCCAAGAGGCAGGGGTTTTTTGTTTTTTGTGTGTGTGTGAAAGACTCTTGTCCCGTCGCCCAAGCTGGAGTGCAGTGGTGTGATCTCGGCTCACTGCAACCTCCACCTCCCTGGTTCAAGTGATTCTTCTGCCTCACCCTCCTAAGTAGCTGGGATTACAGGCATGCACCACCATGCCCAGCTAATTTTTGTATTTTTATTAGAGATTGGGTTTTGCCATGTTGGCTAGGCTGGTCTTGAACTCCTAACCTCAAGTGATCCACGTGCCTAGGCCTACCAACGTGCTGGAACTATAGGTGTGAGCCACCATGCCCGGCTTTGTTGTGTTTTTTGGTTGTGAGGAATGTTGAAGCTCACTGTGAGGGGGCCAGAGGTGTAGAGAGGACTCTGGGAGAGGGAATTTGTATCAAAGGCGACTTCAGGGTCCTCAGTTTCTGGCTATCACTGCCAGCAATGAAACGATAGAAACATGAATGTAAATTAGACACATTTATTTGAGTTTCTGTCTGTGTTTATATTAAACAAAGAAGTTCTATGGTTGTGGGCTCCCCAAGAGCCTGATGCTTTCTGAAAGATCAAATATGTACCTCATATCTTTTGGTTGTTGTTGCCATTGTTGTTATTGAGACAGTCTCACTGTGTCGCCCAGGCTGGAGTGCAGTGGTGCAATCATAGCTCGCTGCAGCCTCAACCTCCCAGATTCAAGTGACCCTCCTGCCTCAGCCTCCCTAGTAGCTAGAACCACAGGCATGTGCCACCACTCCCAGCTAATTTTTTTTTTTTGAATTATTATTTTCAGAGACAAGGTCCATTATATTGCCCAGGCTGGTCTCAAAATCCTGGGCTCAAGTGATCCTCCCACCTTGGCCTCCCAAAATGCTGGAATTACAGGTATGAGCCACCAGGCTCAGCCTACCCCATGTCTTAGTGCAGTTCACAATTGGGTAGGTAACACCAAATAAGAGCATCATAGATATATGGAGAGCTTGAGAAAATAAGTAAAAAGGCTGTTTGCTATTTAAAAATTTAGTCTGCTGGCCTTGATATAATATCCAGTACACTAGACTCTGATCCAATGGTTCAAGTTCAAATTTACTTAATTTTGTTTGCATATAACATGACATATTGCAAAGTACTTTCACGTCTAGAATTTCTACATAGAATGAACCCCAAGGTGGCAAATTTGTTGGAAGAGAGATGAGAAGATCAAGTGAATTATTTTGAAGCAGGCTTTGCATAACAAACACAAGACTTTTTCCTTAGATTGTGTATTTGGGCCAATGGACATTGATCTCCAGTCACCCTAGGGCATAGCTACTGAAGGTAGGTACAGGCTTGGGTGGTCTGACAGTCCTTGTTATGTGATCTTAAGCAACTTACATAACTTCTTTAGGTGTTAATTTTCTCATTTGAAATATGAATAACCATATCTACCTATTAAGGTTATGATAAGGATTTGAGACAATGTAAAGTGCCTGGCACACAGTAGGTATTCAGTAAAAAGTAGCTATTATTCGTAAATATTATTCCCACAAAAGCATTTATGAGCACAAACAGGATAATTATGGTGGAAAGATGAAACTAAGAAAACAAAACAAAACTAACACCAACAACAAATTACTCAGCCTATGATGATTGTCCTTTTGGGAGTTTTAAAAAGCTGATCATTGCTTGATTTCATGATATTATCCTTCCCCAGGCCCCACAAAGTATTATATGACATGTTTATTAGTTTAAGTGGTTTTGCTTCTTGAGACTTTAGAATTTTGTAACACCCTTTATGCTACTGAAGATTCTCTGGGGAGTTACAAAACCAGTATCGAGATTTCCTTTTAAAATATTAACAAAAAAGTAAATAAATTATCTCTCTCTAACACAGGCAGAGCCAAGATAACATCTAATAAAGGGCTGGCTTCATACCTAGGTTGACAACAGAATGCTATTTAACCACCTTGTCCCTTCCCTCTGTCTGGCTTCCCCTCGCCCTTCCCATAAATAAGCACTGGAAATTAAAAAGCTGCAATTCTATCCCAAAGTAATTACCTTGGTGCATAGATAGGACATTCCAAAGGGCAGAGAAGAGCATGTACTAAGGATAAGAAAAGAAGAAAAATCAGAGAGTGAGGACCAGTGCGCATAGGATTCAAGGAGTAGCTCTGGACAAGAGCAAATAGGATGAAAACCCTAAAGAGGATTTGGGAGGTGGAACACGGCCAAGGAGAAACGACTACAATATATACAACCCAGTTTACCCTCCTGATGCTCATACAGCAATTGGGTTCAATAGTGTCCTGAAAAAAAAAAAAAAAAGCTTCTCCTCCCAAGTCTCTCCAAAAGCATAAATGCTAACTGCAGAAATGTCAATGAACTCTTACCTGAGAATATTCTAACCACGCTTAGAAATCAGTATTTCTTAGAAAACTTGAGTTCTTAGCCTAGTTCTGCTATTAATGATTTGGGAGAGTCTGAGGAAATTACTCTACCTGTTTTGACCCCAGTGACCTCATTCGTATTCTTCTGTTGAACAAGTATTTGTGTAGCAACTACCAGAAGCCAGGTATTATGATACATGTTGATGGCAAAATGGAGAATGAGAGCGGCATGGTTTTTGACCTTATGGAACTCACTGTGTAGTGGAAGTAGACTAAACACAAACACAATGAATCCAATGAAAGGTGAAGAAAGAACATTAGGCTGAAGCTGCATGATGGCCAGGGACACTGAGGCTGGCAAGACAGGTCAGCCTGAGGACTGACACGGGAGGGGCCCCAGGGAGAGCAGGCTGAGGCAAAGCCTCAAAGGCCACATGCTGCAGGGCTGTGGAGGCATAAGGAAGGCCAAACCATGGGCTTCATTTGAAACGCAATGGGAAGGCCCTGGAAAAACAAAAGCAGAGGTAGGATGGTTTATAAATATGTATGGTTTATAAATATGTCACATTCCTAGCAGTTTGAAAATTCTATTATTCTGACTATCCATCCTAAACACTTATGGCCCAAGTAGTCTCCTTAATGTAAGAGAAATTTCTCCAACCTGAAGAACAGTCTTTGGATTAGAAAATCTCTAGGTACCCTGTGACCTCTCCTCTCACCTTCCACATTCACCTGGCATGTTTATCTCTCTCTCTTTGTGACCATTCCCAGGTCTGCAATTTCTTGGCATCTTCCTTCAAGCCCCACATCCAAGTACACTTCTCAAACCTTATTGACATTTGATGAACTGCGTTCCAACTTGCCTTCAATTCCCTGTAAACCTGGAGTGTCACCTGACTGAAGCCTCTAGCTTTAGCATGCTAAGCCATGAGAATTCTTCTCCATGAAATCATTTACTTTCCCATAAAATCTGCTTGAGAACTGTTTAATAAGCTCCTTGTCAAGGAAGAGAGAAGGAACTCAACAAACATTTGTATTGTACCCTGCATCTCCCACAAAGATAAAGTTGTTGTCTCCAAATTACGGCCTCTGTAGACATCCTAAACCCTTTAGGCTTAAGTGTTTTAGGATATCCAGTGAGAATTCAACAAACATCACATGGCGGGGAACCATAACCACAATGTCTGCTTTTCAGCACTTTAACTCGTGGGATCTGAGGAAAGAACTGGCCTTTCAAGACTCCATTTCTCACAGAAGTACAGTCATTTCTGCCTCATGTGTTAATTTAGTTTGGCAATATATTGCAGCTATTGTGCAGCTTTTGTGTTTTATGGTTTGACACAAGAAGGGACAGCTCTAATACCTTCGAATTTTGTATGGGTTGTGGGTGCCCAAAGCCGACATTTTCCAGCAGCTGGTAAACAGCTTTAAGATTGAGAATCTCTTCGTTTTGCTCTCATTTGCCTGGAGGGTCGTAAATGTCAGAGTCTTGTAACTTACGCACAAATAAAGCCCATTGGTAAGTCTGTAAAAGCAGTCTGGACACATGCACACAGTGAGCATATGAAGACACTTCATTATTTCTTTTCCTGGTGGCAGTGCAAGGAAAGAGCATGGAAGAGATACCCGCCCAGCTTCCAGATGAACTGCATGTTTAAAGCTTAGTTGAAAGATGTACTTAGCATTCAACTGAAACATGCAAGTCTGATGAAAGAGCTATTTTCATCAGGTTTTTCTATAGTTTAAACAATTTGGAATAAAACGATTGGATTGTTAGATCAGAAAGAAGGGCAATTACAATGCACAGACCATTTTCTAAGAATAGTTGTACTTATTGATTAAGAATTTAAAAACAACCTCTTTCGTTGCCTTTTACGTTTATTCTCATCTTTTTAAAAAACTCTCACTCTACCTCTTTTTGTAGGATTATGTCTAACTACTGGTTATTTTTTAAAATTTCAGTTTCTTCAGAATTATCTGTTCATTTGTTTTCCAGAATGTTAAGTCCTCCTGGCAAAGTCTTACAATCTATTTTCCTTGAACCTATAAGAACCTTGTTAACTGTGTGATACGCAGCAAACCAAACATTTGTGTAGTATCTGTCTGCCTAGGAGATAAAGCTGTTCTTGCAATTAAAGTCCTGGAAGACATCAATAACCCCCTTTTGCTTTAGGCATTTCAGGAGAATTGCCAAGAGAGAAAGAGGGAGGGGAGACAGAGCTGGAGAGGGGGAGAGAGAGGGGAGACTGAGAGAGAGGATCAACTCTAGATGTATGAAGAACCTCAACCTCGATCTCTTGCAGTAAGAAAATGAATATACTAGGGCAAATAAACATCTTGAAGAAAAGACTTCATAGCAAATTGTTTTTTATTAGGTTTTTAAAATAAAGTTACTGCTTGATCTAATGCAATAATCTTGATTTTTCTATTTTAGTTCAATGTATAGCTGTGTGTTGAATTTTTCTAAGAGAATAAAAACTGCTCATTAATTCCAGTAAATTCATTGAAAGAAAAGTTAATTATAATAATGTCCTTAGTTTTCCCCAAAGATTATGGATATGATGGGGCCTAATTCCAAATTTTTTTATAGACCACTTTTCCAAATGCCACAAATCCAAATAAAGTTCAATTTTAAAGGCTTCCATACATTACAGAGTTTTCTTCAAAAGTTTTCTCCAGAGTCGAGCCAATTTGTAAACTGTCCTCAAAGCCACAGTGACCTACTTTGATGATTGAAATGCTTTGTTTGTAAAGCAAAAGATATATTTTATGAAAATGCTTACATTAAAGAACACAATTATTACAACAAAATGATTATCAAAATGACTGCTCTATTGTTCAGTGAATTATAGTTTTCTGTTATTCTAGAAATGAATGTTAGTTCCTTCATTTTCTAAATTAGAACCTTCTGTATGCATAATGTATGTTGGTGGTAACTGGTGTGCATGTGTGTGTCTGTTTCCCACCGTTCCCCTTACTTCAATACCCAGTAAGTTGACACGGCTGCTATTTGAACATATCAGGAATCTAAAAGAGTCAACACGAGCTCTTTAGCACCTCAACTTACATTTTGGGTAATTTCCTATGCGAGTCCTTAATGAAAGGCATTCTCTTCGTTCCTTCCCTTTTCTCTCCTCTCCTGTTCTCCCTTGATGTCCCTGGGATAGCACTGGGGAAGACACTGCAATGTACGCAGCTAGTTTCTGCTGACCTGCAGCCTGCTCTTGAATTGGAAATTAGGTCTTCAATATGAGGCTGTCAGCATTTTACCAAAATACTTCATTGATGTGTAATAACACCTTTAATAACACATTTAACAAATGGCAAAAAATCAATCATGATCTGAGAGATTTAGGTCTCATTTCTGAATAGAGTAAGTTGAAGATTTCCCAGAGTTGTTTTCTTCTAATAGCATCAAAGCTATATTGGGATTGGCCCAGAAAGCTGTTAAGTTGTTGCAGGGGTCCGATGTCAAACTTATTTCAGAGGAGCTAACCTAAGTGGCTTCTTGAGCTCCTT